GGTTGACAGACACCTCTCTCTCCTCACCGCCCTGGGTAGACTCACGACGAGAGACTGCACAGGGTGTTCACCGCTCCATCGTTTGAGGCCACCACCTCCTTTACCTGTCCAGCATCCACGCCCCAGGACCGTTGTTTGGCTGAAACCCAAGGCCCCTTGGGTTAAGCTAAACACTGATGGCGCTTTCGACAGACATACCGGAGCTGCTGGAGGAGGGGGGCTGATTAGGGATCATGGTGGGGCACTCATCTCTGCCTTCCATGGGCCACTACGGGCCTCCTCGAGTTATGATGCAGAGATTCAGGCGCTCCAGATTGGTCTCGAGATTGCTGCCTCGATCTCCTCTCATGTTTGGATTGAGATGGATGCTGCGGCTGTCATCACACTTTTGACATCTGGCCACCAGGGCTCATGGCAGATCCAACATCCTCTTATGCGTATCAGAGACACCCTTCACTCGATCCATTACCAGGCCTCTCATATATTCCGGGAGGGGAACCGGCCTGCCGATTTCCTTGCTAGCACGGGGGCATCTATACCCCAGAGACGCACCCTCCTTCCTGAGGACATTCCCCTCCGGCTTCGGACGCTCATTCGGATGGACCAGTTAGAATACCCATCCTTCATATTCGGTCGACAGCCACCTCCTGCCCCTGACTAGATTCGGCCGACCTCTTATGAGGACTCGATTTTAGACTCACATCGCATATTTTTGTGACCTTTGTAGTTTTATTTCTTGTTTTATTTTTAGTTTTTATTTTTCCTTTATTTTCTATTTTCTCTGCTTTTGTTGTTGCTCCATGTATTTCTGACTTGGATGTAGACCATTGACTTTCTTAGCCCTAGCTGGGCCTTATATTCACAGGTCGGGGGTGTAGCCTCAACCCCCCATCCCAATCTGGGATGTTTATTGAAAAAAAAAAAAATTAATAAAAGTGTCTGCAAGAGAATTAAAAATTAGTAAAAAAAATTAAAAACATGTTAAAAAAATGCAAAAGCATAAAGAGCGAGTACTTTGAAAGGTGCTTTGGTGCTCTATACTAATAAGATTATTTTCCAAAATGGCAAGAAAAACAAAACGCTGAAAGCAAACGTTGCTAATCATAGTGTTTCGATATTTAATGTTTTGAGCTCATAAGCTAATCTTAAAAGTTGTTTTACCAAACATAAAAAAAAAAAATCAATTTTAGTTTTTCCCACTCTAGTCAAAACCGCTAAAACACCTTTTTGACAAAAAAAAATTAAAACAAACGGGCCAATATCAATTTAAAAAAAAAAGCAATACACTGTAACTTACAAAGCTAAATATATCCAATGCAACCTCGGCCATAACTTCATAAAGTTGGAAAAAAAAATGTGGTTGAAACATTCTTGTTGGCCAAATCCTTTAGACCCATTCCATGTGTCAAATGATGCACATATATAGGCACAATATTACATATAGAATTATGCTTGTCTTATATATATTCAAACTCAACAACAATAGTATTCAATAGTTCATCAGCGTACATACTTTCAATTTTGTTTTTATTCTCCAAAGAAACTTTTAGAAACAAAACATGGAAAACCAAGATTCATACAACTCTAGAAATGTTTCAGGTCAAGCGCAGGTAATTTTCACTAGTAGTTTCACAGCGTGCAAGAATTCTAACGTTTTATATTTTTTAATTAAAACGCAATTCATAGTAAGTAACTAATTTTGAAAATGACTTCGGCATTCCATTGCAAAAGTATGCATATTTTAACTTATATATTTAAAGTATCATATTATAATATTGCTAAAAAAATTTAAGAAATGGATGGACGGTAGTATTTGTGTTATGATAATCTTAGAATTTTTTTCATGAATGTATTGAGATATGTGTAATAAATTTTAATTGTAGATGAGGAGAGAATGGAGTGAGATGCAAACCCCAGCATCAAGCATCCACAGCCAAGGCCAGGCAACCAACTTCCTTGAAGAGGTATGTATATATATGTACATAATACATTATTTATTTATTCATTGAAATAATACATATTATTTATAAATATTATTTATATATGGGTAAAAAAAAGACTGGGAGTCAGGTGAAGAACATGGCTTATGGGGCGGCTGAAGTTGGCAAGGGAGCCGCACAAGGGGCCATCAACCTCGCCCGTGGAGCGGCGGACGCCGTGAAAAATAGCATAGGCATCAATAAC